TAATGTCCAGTATTTTCCTCGGTATTTTTTTTTTCACACCACAAAACAAACGCACGCACAAACTTAACCTAACCTCATCCATCAAATAAAACCAATGAACTATAACCAAAAACTGAAATGCGCACACATATTGACGAACGTGAAGCCCAGTGCCGCTGCTACGGAGGGGATGCCTGTTTTTGTCGCACTCATTACGTTAAATGGCGGAAAATGCTTCCAACACGTATTCTAATTGATAAAACCTGTGTAGGTACCTAAATATAACAAAACTTTCCAAAACGTCATATGTCAGCGAGCCACAGAAAAGAACAACATTCCCCCTTGGGGCATCCGTCTTTCATGGCTTCATTTTTTTGGCAGATATGGCAACGTGTGCGCATTCTAGTTTTGCTTATAGTTCATTAAACAAAACAACTAATCGCATGGCTCCCTGCTGAACGCCTGAACGTGTTTAGGTATCTATGGAACGTGTTAAAGTACGACCAGCGAGAAGAAAGGCGGCGAACTAATATTTCTATCCCGCTCTATTCCATTGCAACTGTCTATTTTCATATCGTTTTCGTCAACCGTGTCAACGTCGAAATATGAAGAAAATGGCGCGTGGAGTCTCCGGCAAACCATTTTCTGACCGAATTCGGCCCGAAAAAATGTTTATTTACAGTCATACATGTAATGTTGACTTCACAGACTTTTAAAAAGGTTGAAAAAGTCACTGTGGGCCGAAAGTAAATGAAATTGTTAATTGTTGTATTTTTTTAGTTTTAATTCAAACAAAAATTTCAAAATTCGAATCATTGTAAATAAAATAGTATACATACCTCGGTGAAAAGTTTTATTACTGTCTCGAGATACACTCAAAGAAATAGTATAGGTTAATTTAACCAAAAAGAATAGATAATTAACAATTCGGCAAATTTTGTTAAATTAATCTATATTTATAGTATTCTTAAACAAAAGCTAATTGTTATCACAATCAATACAAAATTGTTACAGAACCAAATGGAATTTCACTTCAAAAATAGCTTTATTAAACCATTACTTTGTCATGTAACTAATAACTTGTCGAATACTGTCAAATAATACTAAGAAATAGTATATCTACCAGCATTTTAGTCGATGTACTATTATTTTTGAAGCACTAACAAGTATTATTAATGTTTAATTAGCAGTTAAAAATGGTCGAGATTGACTATTATTGAAGCATCTAACTAATAAGTTGTTAAAGCAAACAAAAAATAGGGTACTTCAACTACTTTGTGGTTATTTAATCTACTATAAGTTCACTGTACACTATTTTATTGTTGAACAGAACAAACAAACTTTATGGTGAAAGTAATTATTACCACAATATTTTCTATTTTACTATTTTAATATGATAATTTCACCCATCATTCAGGTCCGCGAACTATTTTCTTTTTGGAAAAACAAATTCGAAGGTAAATTCACGCTCAATTATTTTTAAACCAAACATATTGTTGGTTTAAATCATTCAAGTTTGATACCTAGATGGAATACATTGAGTGCAGTGAGTTCACAATAAATACGCGTATTTGTTCTGTTCCTGTTCCTGAAATACAGTTTTTTTCTGGTAAGATAAGTACTTTGCTATAATGGATTTGGACATAGGAATTCATTACGATCTTGAATATACAGATTTAGTCAATACGATGCCAGCTAATAATAACCCATTGATAAACTGTGTCGGGTCAACCCTCAATGCATTCAATGCAAACCTCGCCTGACAAAGAAGACGTCTATTATAGCGAAGACTCGGAACTGCGAAATTTACTGGATAGGTGGTATATGGCATAAGATACTATTTTTAACCCATCTAAATTATTTTTTTCGGCCCAATAAATCACAGAAGAAAAGTTGACTTATCTTCATGAGCTGTTAAAAGACTACACCTTTTTCATTTTGGAAATTATGCAATATGGATCCTTCAAAGGAGCGGACTTCCCAACATTAGGAACTAGAATTGAATTGCAGCAAAAACTTACTGAATGGAAAATAGAAAATGTGAGTGAAAAAATAACATTATGCATTTATCATAGTGCTTATGCTTTTTTTCCAGAAAGTATCTACATGGTATGATGGTCAATTTCACTACCCACCCATATTCGTATGTATAAATTGCCTTATGGACATAACGTGAAATTTGAAAATATACCATACCATACCCCTCCTATACTGTATACATTATAATTTAATTTCAGACCTATCTATTTAGTATGTTTATATTTTATATTGTTAAGAAATAATTTGTTTTATCTTTAATTATCAAACTGTTTTTTGAAAAAAAAAAAAATGTTTTTTATTCTAAACACCTAATCCAATTATTACCAATAATTAGTAATGATTGGATTGAATTGTATATTTGACCATATTTTAATTAATAAAATATGGTCAAATATACAATTCAATTGGCAACAAAACAAAAAATAGTAACTGAACAATGAATAAGTTGGTGGAGAACAAAAAACTGTGGTTAATATATTATATTTAATGAGGTTGCTGTACAAGATATTATGGTTGCTCAACTATTAGTTGTTTATGTAAACTAATAAAGTAGTTTAGGGACTATAAAATGTTTAGATCATAAATAAAAAAATATATTGTTGAAAATGACAATAAAAATTGTTTGCAAACAAGATTTTTTAACCATATTTTTTTGGTTGATTTAACTATGAAACGAGATAGACGCCATTTCCCATTTCATATACTCTTTCTGGTTGATTTTACCAAGCATTTTCTTTGAGTGTAACTTTCCACCTAACCACTTTCCACCTCGGCACAGATTACTTACATACAGATGCGAAAGAGCGGTAAATTCGTGGTTCAAGATCAATTTGATAGACATAGGCTGGCCGCACCAATGCGACATCAATGTATTTTGAACATATTTATTATATAAATGCGGAAGCTCAATAATATAATATTATTTCTTTAATTGGTTCACAAACAGCAAAAAAAAATTTTTTCTACCCGCAAAAATATGTAAACACACATGCTGGAACATGCTCACGCACTCGGCCACGTTAATTGATGATATTAGTTAGGTTAGAATCGCAAATTGGCGCGGGTTCCTAGTTCAAAAATTAATACATTGATGTCTTATGGGGACTCAATTTTAAAAGCGTCTGTAGTCGTGATAGAACGTTTGTTACGGAATTGAGTTGTATAAATAGTTTTTTTAATATGTTAATTAACTGAGAGAGTGATTGAAAGTTGAATAAACATTGTTAAAATAAAAATATTACCAATTTAAGAAGCCGATGTTTGTATAAAATACGTATGTCCTTGCTTGATTCATAAGTATATATGAGTACCTAATTATAATAAAATAAAAGTTCACCTACATACTTGGTTAGTAAATGTACTTCAATAATCCAAAAAAATTGAAAAATAAATGACTGAACTAGTGATAAATAAATAAATAAACAATTCACCAACAATCATAACACAACACACAACCTCACTTTCTCTCAGCTGGTTTTAGACTCGACGTACGTCCACCGAAAACAGACACTTTTAATTAAAATCATTTGTATTTTTAATTCATAGGTCTAAAAAAACAATTAGAGCATGAATTATAGAGAAATATGTTCAAAGTTTGATGTACAATAGGTTCCAATACTAAGAAATGCCCAGAACCCAAGATATTCCCGTCTGAAAATCACTCTTTTGAATTCCCCATAAGAAATACATTGCTGTCAAATTTGTTGAAATGTGTTTAGGAACCCATTTTAAATTTCGCGCCCGATTTTTCTTAACCTAACTAATATGGTCAATTGTCCTGACGCGGGCGATCTTTATCTATGCGTGGGGCCGCTGGCGGCCCGGCTTCGTCACAGAATATCGTCGACAGCAAGTATAAATTGCGACAAGTGAGTGAACCTGTGTGGAAGGAATGCGGCCAAAACGCTCCTGATTGGCGCGAGATTAAGTATACATATACGCGGATTGTCGCGTCAGGGTAACCGCAATTTTCGCAATGCACCACGTCGGGGACCCGTCGCGTCGTATAGTATAGGTTTTTGTCTTCCCCTCTGCGGGCCTCTGCTACTTCATGCGTTACCAAGGTTCACTCACTTGTCGCACATTACGTACTTACGCATCTGTATTAGGTGATCTGTGACCTCGGTATGTAATATACTATTTCCGGTGGAGCCGTTCAGTAGAATAGCCAGTTTCGGCCCAAATATGAAGTCCCGTATAACCATATCCTATCGGTCGGACAAATAAAGATCGGCCGGCCTTATATGGACCGCGGATGGTCCAGATCCCGGCTATCTAGCCACTTGGATGCCGTAACTGCTGGCTGGCGGCCGATAATTTGCCGACTATGTTTGGTTTGCTGGGTAGTCTTTTGACGATGCATTGTCTTTCGCCTTTCTTAGTAAAAGAACAGGTTATTGACGTCATTAAGCACTATCAAATACAAATACCAAATGCTAGTTCAGCCGCTCCTTTCAAGGTGTCGCTGCGTTTGAACCAATGAAGTAGAAAGAAGGTTGGAATAGCCCTTTGCCTACCTATTCACTCGATATATTTGCGGCCAACATTAGAGTGACAGAACAGGAGCGATCCGTGTGATTTTCTTGCCCTTATTAGCGCTACCTCACTCAGGGTTAGAGTGAGAGATATGGGAGATCCAATAGATTTTTTGCACTTACCAGCGCTATCTCATGCTAGAATCAATTGAATGACATAAGGCCCATTCCAAACCTTCTTTCTACTTCATTCGTTTGAACTGAATTCACACGTAGTAGAAGTACTGCTCTCCTTTTAGTAAATCAGTGCACCTTATTTTCTTTGGCTAAAGCAAAACTACATTAATTTCAGGAAGTGTAAGCGGTGCACATTGTAACACAGATATTTGAATTTGGAAACTGTCGCTGTCATCAGTTTCTTTGTTTGTAGCTAGGTACTATGTTTTAGGATAAGTTATACAGGAGTAATGGATCTGAAGGTTCGGAAAATTTTAAAAAAGCACGCAATTGATAGATTTTTCTACCAAATATTTATTTATAAAACGAATAATATAATTAACATGGGAACATAAGACGATGTGATAATCTGAAATAATTTGAAGCGTTAAGAAATAACAATAATTATATATAAGGCATTCCTTTATCTGTATATTAAATAAGAGAAAAAAAAAACAATAATTTGTTGACTTACTGGAATAAGTGAGGGCTATACCTCTATATTTTCTTAGTTTTACCAAAAAAAAAACTATTTTTTAATGAAAACATAATATAATATATATGATGATAATTAAATTATCGTTTGGGACCAAGCAGATCTTGAAAGTAGGTAAATATAAATATTCTAAACATCAACTTTGTAAGGTGATCCTGGGATATGGTCGTCTCCCCATTTGATGATAATCAAATATTCTCCTCTGTCTCTTACCATATAGTTGACGTCATATAAATTATGTCCCTTATGTTTTATAAAGACTTCGTCGCATGGTCCTTTGGGTCCGTAAACTCCAACATAAAGTATGTTTGGTCCTAAAACAGACTTACGTATGATTTCGGAAGATTTATGCCATCAGTAAATTCCAAATAAACACTCAAACTAACAATTTCTCAACTAAAGGTTTGTTTGAAAGCAAATTTCTCGAAAAAAAAAATCGTTGAATTGAGTGTGAAATTTTGAAAAGCTTTTACAAACGCATTCATTCAAACAATAACTCCTAATTTCTCATTGTATACTAACCTGCTTCTCCAGCAGCAACAGTGAATTGATTTTGTTTTCCCAAATATGCCTTTTTCAAACCCATTCCTTTAGATGTTACTTTGGATGCGTCACTCTTGAAGTGTGGCAAAACTGGGCCTTTGTGGTTGGCACCTTTACCTACTTTGTTAATTGTTTCAACAACTACCGATGATGATTCTTGGCCACCAATATCAGCGACATTGGCATCACCTAATGTAGGTAATAATTTGCTAGATTTCAATGAATCAATTATAATATTTTGCTTACCTTTGCTGGTTACTTTAGATGGTGATCCAACGATGTGAACGTTATTATATTTTACACTAATATAATAGTCTCCAGGGGCGATGGGTGTATATCTAACTTTGTATCCTTCTTCAACTTCAGTACAATCCATGGCTACTTTGCTTGGTCCATCAATGTTAACAGCAAGTGTGCCTGCGCCAGCATTGAGTGTATCTACTATAAAGTCGGTTTTAACTCCTAAAAAGAAAAGATACGACTTCCGATTAATACACATGTTTAATATATGAAAGATTGGATACTAACCTGTCTTAACTTCCCTGTTTAACCCATTTCCATGAGCGTGAACCGCAGCAGGATCGGCAGTATCTTTACCAACTTTAACACTGAAAGGAGATCCAGGAATATGGACGCCATTAAATTTGGCGTGGATTTTATGTATGCCATTTTCGCGAGGCATAAATCTGACTGAATATTCTTCCATGTCGATAATTTGCACAAAACAGTCATCTTCGTGGCCGGAAGGACTAACAATCTGAAGTCAGAAAGAAAAATGTTAGTTTTTGAAAATACTGACCTTAAATGTGAAACATACCTTTGCATCAAGATCACCTTTAGCTCCATTTCTACGAATGATGAACTGTGAAGGTTTATCGGCTTGAATGGACCCTTCTGGGAATTGAGCTACTTCCAATAAATGAGCGTCTCCAACGGCCGGTGAGATGTAGACTTTGAAAGGAGACTCGGGAACATGTTCGTCATTGAATTTCAATCCTATTCTGTATTCACCTGAACGGAAAAAAAAACAATTTCAAAAACAATTTAGGACGATTCACATTTTTTTTCTGGATATCCTTGTGAATAATAAACAATAATAATTCTATGTTACATAAGAATAACGTTTCGTATATTTATTTTTGGGGACAACCCAAAAAGGCCACATTTGATCTGCCAAATGTTTTTCCTACAAGGTTGAAGATTTATGACCGCCCAAAAGGGCCACCAAATATTTTAGTAGTATTGTCTTTGCTGCTGCTGATAAACTGGGGTTGACCTGAAAAAATATTTTATAATTGTATGTACAATGTGTCCCGCTTAAGGACTGACCACCCTTCTAAAATTTTTATTTTTCAACCGATTCAATTCATTTTTTTTTTGTCTTATATCTACTCGAATTTGGCACTTATTAGGCTAATTATTTTATTTCTGCGGCTGTACTGGTGTACAGGGTGTCCACATTTATAGGCTCAAATTTCAATAAGTAGGTACTAACAGGGATTTTTTTAGAAAAAATTTGATAGCAAATTCTTGTTTAGAATGGTCTAAAACCCAACTTTACTTATTTTTGTTTCAATACGATACAGGGTGATCACAATAAATTTTCAAAATTTAATGGACCAAACCGCAAAAATGTCATATTATGAAGCCTTGAGAATAACAAAACTTGGTACAACATAGTTTTAGAACATCCTTAACCAAAACTTGTAGTAAGCTTGTCTCAAAATATGACATTTTTGCGGTTTGGTCCATTAAATTTTCAGAATTTGTTGTGACCACCCTGTACCTAGCGTATTTGAAACAAAAATTAGTACATTTGGGCTTAAGACGATGAGTCTAAACAAGAATTTGATATCAGATTTTTTCTAAAAAAATCCCTAATAGTACTTATTGAAATTTGAACCTATAAATGTGGACACCCTGTACACCAGTACAGCCGCAGGAATAAAATTATGAGCCTTAGGTGCCAAATTCGAGTAGATATAAGAGAAAAAATAAAATAAATTGAATCGGTTAAAAATAAAAAAAATTGAAGGGTGCGGTCAGTCCTTAAGCGGGACACACTGTACATATAATATGTAAAGGCCAGCTTCTATATGTTTATTTAGTTGATAACTACATAGACGACCAGGCACCTTTTCCTTTAAGCGTTTTAAGCATATGAGCTAAAAAAGTATCCGATTCTATACTTTCGCATGTGAATCTTTCCATTCCGAATTTAACTCTCATTTCTACCAATCACATCCCAATTTTTTCACTTTTATAGAAACGCTTTTGCATTTTCAAAGTAAAACTAATCGAAAACTCCGATCGATTGGCGAAAAAGTGGAAAAAAAAAAGATAGGTAACAGTTTTACATAATAGATACCTATTTATTTTATAAGGAGTATGGAGTATGACATCATTAAAGTGGCCCTTTTGGGCAACCCCGTTATTTTTGTAGCTTAAGAAATCATCCTTTTTATTCATAATTCTAGCTATTATAATTAAGATGAGATGCTAGTATGAAATTTGGAAAAAAAAATATCTTATGCTTTTGTGTGAAAATCCACACTTTATGAGCAAAAGAAAACAAGCTGTAGAGTAGGTACACGACAAAAATCGAAGCGAATTATAAACTTACCGAATTCATACAAATAAAAATTGACATACTATTTTCTAATATGAACACATTAATAAAGTTGTAAAATGCGTCAATGTTATAAATGAGGCAAGGTTGGCTATCTATTATCGTTTTATATAGGATAATCCATTAATAAGTCAGCAACAAAATATAGTAGGTGTAGGTATCGATTGTAAGAATAAATATTTATTATCCCCACCTTCCGGATTATTCGCCTTGTCGGAATTAAGTTGTATCTCTTGGCACACCTTATACATCGTTCGCAACACCAAAACATTGACCGTGCGATAGAAACTTTATTCTCTGTCTACATCTTGCGAAAATATATTTCACCATCTATTAGGAACTACATGATTCATTTCTAAAATTAAAGTTTTCGGTGCGCGTTGCCTTGAGTTTTTTTTTTGTCACAGTCACGAATTTTCGGGTGCTGAATTTTTTTTCCTGGATCCATGTCAGCAAAGAATTTCTTTGTGTTATTGAAATTGATTAATTAGTCCTCAATAAATGATGATACAGGGTGATGGTGATATATTCATATTATGTAGGATATAACAAATATAAAAAATGCGCTCGTCAAATCCTGTTTTTGGCCAGATAAAGTTTTGTAGTTTTGTGTGTTCGAAACAACAACTTGCTCTGGAAAAAATTGCAGGAAATAGGCTCAGTTATAATGTAAATGATACGTATACAGTGAGGGGCAAGCTACTAGGTATATAGGATGTAACCTGACGAATTTGCAGGCGTCCACATGTCAGAAAATGACAAATCGATTTAGCGCTAACCTGGCGACAACCAGGTAAAAAGTTTCTAGGGTTGTTAATAATTTTCAAAAATACGGTTGCATTTCTCCCCGAAACCATTAACGAACTGACGTTCAGGAAAATAATGATGATCAAGAAGCCAAATAAATTATTTGTTGTTGATTGTTGGCATTAGTTAACGAAACTCCAACTATTTCGACTCATGCGCTTGTGCACGAGTTTGACTCAAGTACAAGGACGGTGAGGAGCCGCAGAAAAAAAAGTATCGTTCGTACAAAGTACGAAACTCCCAAAAAATTGATCCTCATCAGGACAACATCAAGCGAATCGAGTTTTGTGAAACTGTCATTAATAAGGCAAATGAAAATCAAGATTTTCTTAGAAAAATTGTCTCTACAGATGAGTCGACATTTCAACTCCATGGTCGACATAATCCTAGTCACATCCGTTATTGGTCTAAGGAGAATTTACACAGGTATTTTGAACTTAGAGCGCATAGTCGTCAAAACGTAACTGTCTGGAGCGGTTTGTATAGAGAACATATTATTGGGCCGTACTTCATGGACGCTAACTTAACTGCTCCAAAATATTTGGATCTTCTGCAATGGGCCAACGGCAGATAATTCCAGAAATTGAAAGATTATCTGGTCCTAGATTTAATGAAATATGGTTTCAACAAGATGGATGTCCAGCCCATAATACGGGTTTCATTCTGGACCATTTGAATAATACTTTTCCAAACCGTCTCATTGCTGACTCGAGAGCTACAGTACTTTGACGCTCTCCCAATCTTGCACCCAACGATTATTTTCTCTGCGGTTATTGCAAATCAAAAATGTATAGTTTTCAGGAGAATCGCGCCGTGAACCTTGAGCAGCTGCGTTTCAAAATTCGAGAAATATATCTAACTGTCACCCCTGTGATGCTAAATAATGTTCGTAGAGCCTTCTATGATCGTTTAGTTCAAGAGGGTGAACTGGGACTGTTTGAACATTTACTGCATTAGATTATCTGTTTAGAATTATTGTTTTTATTTTACTTACATTTTTCTTCTATTTTTTATGTTGAATACATTTTTAGTTTTTCCTTGATGGCTTTTCTAAAATACATGTTTTTTTTTTCCATAGAATCCGAACAATAATAGTATTATTGTTTCGGTTCGAAAAAAATCTATCTAAATACACGTCTTTTAAAAATAAGTAAGTGAAGCTCGACGATACATCTAAAAGCATGGTCTAGATGCTACGTTTTGCATAACGTTTTGTCTGTACAGTTCAACACGTGATCAGGTATCAGTAACATAACGCCTGGACCGGGCTTAAGTCTGTTAAATCATAAAACGTACTGATGTGAACCATGGTTTATGAACAAACTCAACGAACGTCAAGTCACTCAAAGTCGTCAAAAAAACGACAGCGGACCGACAGCGACAGGTGTTCAAACGGCTGCGGACGATTGTAAATTCGTGGTGGATCCTATATACCTAGTAGCCTGCCCCTTACTGTATAGGTATATTATTGCTACGTATGCGGCTCCGCAGATTAGTGAGACTACCCTCAATAACACAAAAATCACGACAAAACTAACACTACTAGCCACAACACCCAAAACTATTTAAATAAACTTTACTGTTCCTATAAATATATCACTATAAATGAACAACTTACTGTCCAATTCAAAACTCGTACAATTCACCATTCACTAACTACCGTCACTATCTGCCCGATTTACAACTTGTTCAATTCTCATCCAATTGCATTCGCATTCCAAGCTCCCTCTCCCCTTTCAACCATTCTTTTACTTATTTTCTCTAGGTTTACTTCTAGGAATTGGTCATCAATTACTGATATTTTAAGTCCTATGAAGTTGAGATTTCGAATTCGGGGGTCATCCTTGGAGAACCATGCGTTAGTGCCAGATTGTCCACAATCTCCAGAATTTAGGCGAAACGTAAATTTGCGTGTGATTTTTCGAATCGAACAGCTTGTCCTGATCACCTCAAGTTGGTGTACCTACTTTGTGGCTTTCGGCAAAAGTTGAATTCTATACACCAAGACGTCGATCTTTTTGACGATCTTGTGTCTTTATAGCGTTGCGCTTAGTTTCTTCCTTCACTGCCGCCGATATGAACTGGAAGTACAGCATCGTCCTCATTCGAAAACCTCAGTTCCAGTCAAAATCATTGGTAGTTTATAGCAGGTGGATTCACGCTTCACAGCTTTTAAAAGCCAAGAAGAAAGAGGCACCAGTTTATACCATTGTTGCTAGTGTTCATCCGAGATGTATTGATGGTGCCTCCTGGGATCATTCTGTCGTACTGTGGATGAGGTGGAGTCGTTCTCGTTTATTTTATTTTCAGTAATCTCATCGATTGTCATTGTTTCCATAATCCATACTTCGGACTCAAACTTCCTCCTCTGTCAGTATGAACTCCCATCGGTACCCTAGTCTATAGCTACCATGAATTTCCTATTTTTCGACCCTGTCTAAAGGACCTGCAATAGCTACAGAAATTTCCTCCCAGGGGAACCAGACCTTACAGAATGATCTTATATACGAGGTTTTTCTTATCTAGAGTCTTCCATTTACGAGTGATCAGGTCATCACCCAGAATCCTACTAAAT